CCCCAAAACCCCAAAACCCCAAAACCCCAAAACCCCATTGCACTTATTAAAGACCATAATAATTTAACATTCAGTTAGAAATGAAACATTCAAAGACTAACAACACACTTTTCCCTCAGAGAAACAGGCTTAAGGTATTCCCTTTGTAGCAAGACTAATGGGGTCGTGGGGTCGCAGATCTGTAGCGTGGCACTAAGCCTGGAAAGTCCTTAATGATAGGCACTCAAGCAGTAGATAGACGTTTATAGGAGATAGAATATGGGAAATTTATCCGTATTTTCACATTTTTCAGAATCTTCAGTAATCCAACTTGGCAGATAGCCTGAGGTTAATATCCAGATACCTCCATTAAGCTTGTATACAAATTTAAGCTTTCTTGTTTAAAATCGCATTGGAAATTAATTTCTGAGATACTTACAGGAGTCAATGTAGAAGACTTGATAGAGATACAGCATGATATTTAGGATTAAAACTGGAAAAATAACGATCAGATTAATCATTAGTTTTTCTGTTTACAAATCTAGATTATGAGTCTAGAATTTCTCATTCCATCAAGAAAAACTTCAAGAATACCTTGTCTGAAAGCTCTCTGGGGCTCCATCTGAGCAGAAATTTGACTTGAGGCAAGATCCTGAGAATTTATATTCATTAGATTTGTTTTATATGTATTAGAATAATCCTGCTGAGAACAAATACATCATTTTTTCTGGAATTTTATTGTCTTCATACTAATATTTTATAGCTAAAAACAGATCCAACGGACTTCTTATCGTAAGTGGATACATATTATTTTCAAAAATTAGTCTTTTCAAGTGTAAAACACAGAAAATTTCTTGATAACACTTATATTTCTTTACTTTAAAACCCCAGATGCAAAATTTGGGATATAAAGAGCATTGTAGAAGCCCTATAAGTCGACATACAAAGGGATCACTGTCCTCGGGTACCTTTGATAAAATAGCAAAACGGGATTGCCATTCCAAGCTTCAATCTAAGAGTAAAGATATTTTGATATTTTAGGATCAAACTATAACATCAGCATTCGATCTAACAGCAAAGGTACTTGTACTGAGGTTTATAGCCTACAGCAAGGAATAGTATTACACAAATAGCACAGAAGTTATGCACAAATCTCCATTTTTCACAGAAGGAAAATAGGAGCATCGTTGATCCTGGCTCAAGAAGGTGATCTAAAGCGTAAGTAATCTTACCAAAATACTAGTACTAAATTTGAACATCAGATAACTATTCTGACAAATATTTAAGACTATTCTCAGTGCGCTAATCTGAGATATGTCTGAGTATCCACTGGGTGAATTCCCTAGATTTTCAGTTCTATTCCATGCTTAATTTCTCAATCTAGATGTCATGACTGCAAATAAAGAAATTGAACACCTGAAGATGATCATAAGGAATCTTGAGAAACGTAACACAGAGTTGCAACAAGAAGTTAAGTTTTATAAAACAAAGTGTTTGAAAAGTACGAAATTTTAAATTTGAATTATAGAGCCAAAAACCTGTAAAATCTATGATGAAAAGTCTAACTCAGGAAGTACTTCTCAACTAGATGCAATTAAGGAGCCAGAGGATCCTATTCCTACACGTCCAAGAAAGAAGAGAGTGAATCTGAAGTAAGCTCCAGAGTATCGATCGAAAAGAAGAATCAGTCCCCAGTGATGCTGAAGAGGAGGATCAAAATTCTGCTAAAAGATTTCCGAAAAGTGTCCATAATGTGAAGATGCTGCTTAGTAAAGGCCAAGCTCTCCGTACTGTAGTTAATCTTTCTCATTCAAGGAATATTGATGTTGAAAAGCCTTTAAGAAATTCCAGAATTCTTTCCTTGATAGGCCAAAGTTTCCAGGAAAGACGTGAGCAACATAAAAGGGCCAAAAGTATTAAAGAATGAGACCTAGCGAGCAACTTTTCAAAAGAGATAGATGAAAATGGGGGTGTTAATTTGATTCTTTCAAGTCTGGTCTCACCTCGACTCTCTCTGAACACCAAAACAATAAAATGTATAAAGGGATAGTTTGTCAAAGTACCATATCAATAAGTAAATAGGATTTCTCGTAGACAATGCTTTGAGCTTCATAGACTTCAAGCAAGAGTTTTTGGCTTCCTAGTCGTTATTAAGTTTCAAATAATCTTAAAATTCCTGGGGTTTTGGGGTTTTGGGGTTTTGGGGTTTTGGGG